GGGGGTGGGTGCGTGGGTGGCCGTTAAGCAGTTGAGCTGCCGAGGGCAGCGACGCAGGCATCCCAGCATTCCAGCATCCCAGCATGCGCTGACGCACACACATACATGCCCGCACGAGCGTAACTGCGAGCGTGCGAGAATGACAGCGCGCTTGCACAGCGCGCGGGCGCGCGCACAAACACATACACACATAGCATCCTCAACGCCGGACCGATAGTGCGGCCCCGCGCGGCCCCCTGCCAGCTCACTGGGCGCGGGCTCCTCATCGAACGACAGCAGGTCCAGCATCGGCATCAGCGCCGCCTTGACCGGCGAGCTCGGCCGCCGCGGCGGCGACGGCGGCTGCGCCTCCTCCTTCGCCGCCTCCTCCGCGGGCGCCTCCTCGGCCGCCGCGGCGGGCGCGGGCTCCTCCTCCTCCTCGGCCTCCACCAGGACGCTGCTGGTGGGCGGCACCGCCTGCGGGCCACAGGCGCAGGGGGGACCCGCGGCCCTCTGAGACGACGGTCAACGCGCGGCCACCGCAGCCGCCACAGGCTAGGTCCGATCCCCACATGCTGCTCTGCCGACCCCGGTTCGCGGCACGCCCCCGATCCGACGCGCTGCGGCTCCCTCTACCCTCAGCCCCTGGATGGCAGCGCACACACCATGCATGCAGCATGCATGCGGCATGCGTGCAGCCTCCGGTGCACACGCATATGTGCATGAGCGCGCACGCACCTTCTTGGGCGGCCCCGTGCCGTCGCGCGGCGCTTCCTTGGCATACTCCTCCATGGTGGACACAAAGTCAGAGGGCAGCGGCTGCAGCGTGGGGTAGTGGATCGCGGTCCTGGGGGAGGGAGAGGGGGCGGAGGCAGGTGCGAAAGAGAGGGACGCAGTGCGTCAGGCGGCGGGGGTGCAGGAGGCCGCGCGGGCGACGCCTGTGCGCTCTGGAGCGGTCGAACTTGCAGGCAGGGTTCCCCGAAGGGCCCCGCGCCGGCGGCGAGGGCGCGGGAGGTGGCTGAGGGGAGACTGAAGAATCAGGGGCTGAGCGGAGTCGCGCCGCCCACCTGAGTGCAGGCACGGCCTGCATTGCTGTGTAGTAACCCGTCAGCTTCTCGTGCAGCGACAGCGCGTCCTTGTACAGCTCCAGCCCCCTGGGGAACAGGGCGCAAGAGCGGGGGCGCAAGTGAGGGAGGCGGACGCCCATCGGCGAGACAGCTGCCGCGGCCGGCCCGCCGCGGGCCCGCGCGGCCGCCTAGGCGTACGCTTTGGCCGCCGGCGCCGCGCCCGCCGCGACCCCCCCGCCGCCGCCGCACCTGAGCGCGTCCGAGCGCTCCATCTCGAAGAACTTGTCGGCCAGGTTAATGACGCCCTCGCTGGCGGCGCGGTACACCGCCTTGGACTCCCGCAGCACCCAGTTGGCCGCCGTCTGCGCGGCGGTAGCGCACGGCAGCACGTGGCGGCGCTTCAGCCGGTCGCGGGCATGAGGTATCAAGCGCCATCAGCGCAGGCGGCGTCCCTCCAAAATCCCTCGACCCCTCGCAGCTGACCCTGGGGAGCTCGCGGCTGGCGAGCCCAGTGGAAGAGCACGCGGACCGGTTGTTGCGTCCCGCGGCGGGTCTCACCAGGCACAGGGGGTTGACCGCGGCGGCGCCCTCCGGCACGCATGCGATCGTGCGCAGCATCAGCCGCTGCATGCGCGGGAGACGCTCCAGCAGCTCCGGCCCGGCACACTCCTTCAGAGACGACGGCGCCGCCTGCGGCTGCTGCTGCGCGCCGGCGCCGCCGTTTGCGTCGCTGGCGCCGCCGCCGCCTCCGTTGCGCGGGCTGCCAGTCGGCCCGCCGTTCGAGTAGCCGCCAGTGGGGCCGCCGTAACCGCCGTAACCGCCGGTGGGGCCGCCGGTGGGGCCGCCGTAGCCGCCGTAACCGCCGGTGGGGCCGCCGGTGGGGCCGCCGTAACCGCCGTACCCGCCGTACCCGCCAGAGGGACCGCCAGTGGGGCCGCCGTAGCCGCCATACCCGCCGCTGAGGCCGCCGGTCGGCCCACCGGTGGGGCCGCCGTAGCCGCCGCTGCCGAAGCCGGTGGGCCCGCCAGACGCGCCCGTGGGGCCGCCGTACGCGCCCTGCTGCTGGCGCGCCTGGTGGGCGCCACTCTCCGGGTCAAAGCGCATGTTCCTGCGGGTGCGAGGCGCAGAGGGCGCGTCAAGGATGGCGCCGCCGCGGCGCTCGACACCACGCCGCGCCGCCTTGCGCGCCGCGCCTTGCGCTGCCCGAGCAGGGTCCGCACACGGCAGGCGGGAGAGAGGGGCGG